CAACGGCCGCAGGCTCCGGGAATTGCTCTACCCCGAGTCCCTTCAGATTCCCGGAGTCCGCCACCAGGCCTGGAACAACCGCCGGAACGAAAAACAGCGGCTCCCACAGCCGGGCGACATTTCCCAGACTCCTCCGCGTCGGAGACAAAAGTTAGCCGGACCGCGAACGGAGGGCTTTTCGTCCCCAGAAAACTACAATCCCCAGAAGTCCCTGCGGCCACGCGGACCTGGCCTATCGCGAGAAACATTGTCTCGGCCTTTATTTATTTTTAAAGAATTATTTTCTTGAACTTAATTAATTAAGGAGAGAGGGACAGAGAGAGAGAAAATGAGAAAGCAAGCCACCAGGTCCGGGACTCGAACTGCTGTCAACCATGGGGGGGTCCAGCACTCTCAACCACCACGTCACCTGCCGGGCCCTGTCTCGGCTTTTATGAAATTATACCACCGGAAGCTGTAGACCCTGCGGGTCAACAGGGCATAGGCCAAGTGCCAAGAGCACACAGTCGTCTTCTGGTGACCTGTACTTCCCAGATCCACCGGCAGCCCTCCAGTGAATTGTGAGAACGAACCCGTTGCTGGGACCAGGAAACTACATTTCCCACAGTATTAGACCGCGACAAGGTCTTTTGGGTCATTTGTGCGCTTACAAACGCGATCTCCTCTCAGAGGCGGACAAGACCCTCCGGAACAGTATCCCGAACTGGCTTTTGTAGGAAAAGGTCTTCCCTCGTCCAAACCTTGACTGCCCCACTCTTCAACTCCTATGGTCTTCGAGTATATGGTGCCCTCTTGGCTAGAACGGTACTCCCCAGAATGTCCTGTGCCTGGACTGTCACAGTAGTTGTTTGCCAACCAAGGGCATTTCCACCCCATGCAGACAGATCGTCTCTGAGGACAGAATTCCCACTTCTATGCTGAGACTTTCTGCGGAGCCTGGGGAAGTCACATCGATTATACCAACATTAATCTTGCTAACAGACACTTCATTCCAATACTTGGGGGTGCTCCCTGCATGCTGCCCCTAACATTGCATTAGACCTAGAAAAGGCTTTCTATCTCTGTTAAACACTGGCATTCTTTTGCTGACTCTAAGTCTCTGGGGAACAAAGATTTTTTTTTTTTAGTTTTAAAAGAATTATTTATTTAACTTTATTGATTATCTTTTAATTTGCTATAGTTCATGTGTGCTCACCAGAGAGAGAAAACGTAAGTAAGCAAGCCACTAGGTTCAGGACCCTAGTGGAGGCAGATCATGTGGGAGTCTTAAGGCCTAAAACACTATGCCACCTTCCCACCCCATGTTTTTTTTAAACTGTCACAGTTCTGGGAATTAAATATCACACTCACATGTTATACTAATGTAGAAGCATTGTCTAATGAATATCATCCGCAGAAGAAGTACTTGACACGTACAAGATAATTTATAGCCATTCTACTTATAATTTTTTAAGTGAAATTAAAATGTAATTAAAAATTTAGGCAGGGGGACCAGGAGATGGCATGATAGTTTTGTCACTAGACTCACATAGTTGACCACGATTCGAGTCCCAGACCTAGAGTTCTAAAACTCAGGCTGAGTGAGTATGCTTGCCTGCACGAGGCCTGGTGGTTTAGGCGCTGACTCCCACAGTTCCTAGACCTTGCTTTCTCATTTTCCCTCTCTCTCTCTTTCTCTGTCTCTCAATGGTGAGCGTGTATACCCTGTAGCAAATTAGAAAATAATAAAATAAAATAAATCTTAAAATTAAAAAAATCATAGCACCAGCTGGCTTCCTTTCAAGATTTGAGTATGTTATAAGAAAAGATCTGCCCAGACGAAATATTTTCCCATGTATAACTTTATCATACAATGACAAAGTAGCTTTCAAAATTATACTCATTTAGTATAATTTTGTTAGTGCCAACACTCAGTTTTGTGAAGTCGTCAAATTTTGCCAATCTACTAGGTGAAATTGTAATTCATGACTTAAATTTGCATTTTTCCTTTTTCCTTTTTTTTTTTTTTCGAGAGATTTTTCACTACAGGGCGCATGCACTCACCAGACAGACAGAGACAGAAAGCGAGAAATCACCCCCCAGAGGGGATGGCCACGCCGCAATCCCTTCTCCTCCATTCTCCTCTTGGGATCTTGGGCACGCACACACACACGCCCAGTGTGGGTTTTAATCCACCGGGTCCAGGACGCGAACCACAGTCAACTATGTGGGAGTCCAGCGACATAGCCATTACGCTAACTGCTGGTTCCCTTTCTTTTTATTATTTTATTCATGATAGTGTGTGTGTACATGAGAGAAAAACAGGCATCCTTGACAAGGCCTCATCATGTCACGGTCCCCTTCTCCTACCCCTCTAACTCAGAATCTTGAGTGTGCACGTTGCGTGCCTAGATTGGCTCTGGTCAACCTGGGATCTAAACCCATGTGGGGGCTATGTGGCTTCTAGCACTGCAGTTCAGTATACCACCCCAATTTCTATGTCCCTCTGCAAAGTGGTGACACTGATGCTCACCCCACAAGCTTGCAGTCATGAGCCATGCCAAGACCACGGCTGGAAATAGGCAAAGTGCACTGTATCCTTTCTTTCCTTTCTTCCTTCCAAACAGCCAGATGATCAAATCCGTCAGTAAACAATGAATATGCAAAAAATTTTAATAGACCACCATCTTTACCTGCCCACATGGTTTTGAATCATGCATTCCAGAAATTTGGCTCTCTGATTTATACATTACATACCACCAGAAAACACATATGATACATCAAGATCCATCCTCTTCTCATGGAGCCAACAGACTCTCATTACTTGGGGGGGTGGGGGAGAAAGAATCAAATGTAATAATACTTACTACCATTTAAAAGAATACACTGTAATAGCAACAGTAGGAATGTTATGATTAAAAATACAGCTTATGGGCAGGGACCAGCAGGTGGCGTGGTGGTTAAGATGCTGGACAGTCCCACATGGCCAACCATAGTTTGAGTCCTGGACCTGATGGCTTGCTTTTTCTCATTCTTTTTCTCTCTCTGTGTCTCTCTCTGATCAAATTAAAATAAATGAATGAATAAATAAAAATTTTTTAAAAGATACAGCTTATAATCCTTAATTATGATATTGTAAAGAATGTCTATAACTTTTGAAATAAAAAAAGGAGTTGAGGGAGGGTGGAGAGTGAAGTGGAGAAGGTTCTAGAAGCTGGGTTCAGCCTTGCAGTGCTAGAAGCCCTGGGAGTGCCTCAGTGTGGGTCAGGATGAGAAGTGCTCTAGAACTTTCTGTCTAATCAACTGCTCACACTTCCAGTGGGATGCAAAGTGCTGGCTATTTTTTTTTTAAATAGAACTCAAGTATCATCATCAATTTTGAATTCTCCATAGTCTTTAAGATACTTCACTCCAATATATAGGCTTTTTGGATGTTTCATGCCCTGTGTGATGTCAAACCTTCATTTCCTCCCAGTGACCGCACGTAAGTAGCAAGGGATCTTTTATAATGATTGAACCACTCCATTTCTTCGTCAGACGTGTGCATTTGGCAAGACACTGATCCAAAGCCACCAGTCATACAGGCATGCAGCATCAATTTAACAGGGTCGAAATTTCATGGCTGATATCAAATTATTTTGTCCGCTTGACTTCACTTTATTTACATCGGACTGGTTTTTCTCATACAAAACTTTCTGCTCCCCCAGAACGTGTCTCATTGAAGGCGGGCAGCCTCCGTTCAGGCACGTGATACAGCTGGCAGCTCTACGGCTTTTGCAGAACCTAAAGGCTGTGTCCAGTCCTCCAACTTAGTCAACCACCAGCTCTCATGTCGAAATAGTTGTGGAACTCCTGGCAACCGGGATCCTGTTGTGCACTGTCCTGCAGCTCTAGCTCCTCGCCTCTGCATTTTCCTTCTAATGAGATGGAGAGTCTTTTCAAATGTCAGTGGGCCTACTGTTTCTTTAACAGGCAAAACCAAGCCATTTTTTAACCTTGTTTTGTTCTGTTTTTGTTTATTGTTTTTTTTTTTGCCTTACTTTATTCTTCTTATACTTTTTAAAATTTTTATTTATTTACTTTAGTATTTATTATTATTATTTTTTTAAACATCAGATTGCTATACATCATTTGGCTTGTAAAGAGAGTTTACCCGGGAACCAGCAGTTAGCGTAATGGCTATGTCGCTGGACTCCCACGTAGTCGACCGCGGTTCGTGTCCTGGACCCGGTGACTTAAAACTCACACCGGGCGCGTGTGCGTGCGTGCCCAAGATCCCGAGAGGAGAATGGAGGAGAAGGGATTGCGGCGTGACCATCCCCCCTGGGGGGTGATTTCTCACTTTCTGTCTCTATGTCTCTCTCTGTCTGTCTGGCGAGCGCACGTGTCCTACAGTGAAAATCTCTCCAAAAAAAAACCCCCCCAAAAAAGAGAGTTTACACAATGTGAAAACACCTCAGACCAGTTCAGTTGAGAATACTATACACGTTATCATCAAGTAATAAACCATTTATTTTTTTTAATTTTACATTTATTCAAACATTTATTCACTGAGCATCATCCCAGCATACATGTGATTTCCTGTCCAGAACACACTAGATTAAACATAGTGGCTTACCATACATGTTAGGATCGACAATTTTCCATTTCTTGTTTCATATATATATATATATATATATGTATTTATTTTTCTCCATTTCTCACCTTCTGCTTTTTCCCACCTCTTCCCACACTGTCTATAGTTGCTTTCCATTCCTCCCCCCCCCCCCCACC